TCAAAGTTATGAATCAAGATCTTGCTGGAATCGCTGCATGGTCGGTGAAATGGGCACTATTTTTAAATGTGAAAAAGTGTGCAGGAATGTTGTTTACCCTAGAGTTTTCTCATTGATATAGACGGAACTCAACGAGCTCTTTCATTTGAGATCAAATTCAAGGTTCTGCATTAAGGATGAAGAAAATACGAAGCGAATCAAAAAAATTTAGCATTGAGTGAAAACATCTTAAAGAATTTACGCTAATAATTTTATAAAGCCTATAACTCAGTCATTTAATATGATGAAAAGTTGGCTGATATCTCGTATTGTGCAGAACTGAACGGACTGTCGACTGGTGTGGTCGAAACATTTTCAAAATGAATTTCAACATCTTTAGGTTTTCTGGAAAGGTTTTCAAAAACTTGAAAAATTCGTATCTCCTCAAGATTTGAATTAATTTATCAAGTTAAATTAGTTTGCATTAATTTGCAAAAGTTCCAATGGGAAGTCTATAGAATTCTAAATTCTAGCATAGTACAGATATACTATATATTAGCCAAGTGAAAGGCAAGGGAAAATGTACAGAATTCTACAGAATTCAATACATTGCCGAGTGTATCAAACTTCCGAAATTAAGAGTATAGTGCTGCTAACGTAGAATTATGTAGAATTCTATAGAACTCTCGCCTAGTTCAGTTAGACTATATATTAGCCAAGTTAATGGAAGCCAAACCTACTGCAACTTTTGAAAATTAATGCTAAGTAATTTAAAAAAGTCTCATGTTAAATTAACTGAAATTAATTTAACTTCATAAATTAATTCACATCGAGTTAATTTTAACTAGTTCAAATTAATTTATCCTGTTAAATTAATTCGAATCAATATAATTTGAACTAGTTCTAATTAATTTGAGTTAACTTAATATCACTCTATTTCCGCTGCATTGTGCGTTGATATACCTGCAGGTATACAGTGGATTCGAAGAAAATGTCTGAAATTTTCACTGAAAGCTTTTTTTCTGAAAGCTTCGAAAGATCACATAAGCTACTTTACTTTAAGAATTAACATATTAATTGTAATTTTTCTTTATTCAAATCTTATTTTATAGATGTTTTGATTCAATTTTGTAAGCGGATTCCAAATATCAAGTATATTTTAATTAAAAACAGATTTTCACTGAATATAAATGGATTTCTACATTTTATTTTCATCGAGTCAAGACGTACCTCTTAACTTAAATTCTTTCTCTTCGTCTTCCTCGTCTAAGCTATATACGTTGTCCGTCAATTTTTTTACATTGAATACTGTCATCATGACAAAAAGACTAAGTAAGAAACATCAACAGTCATCACAGCAAGATAAAGATAAAGATATTGATATTGATGTACACGAATTGGCAAGACAAATATTTCAATCAAAAGAATTTATTGAGGGTGTATCAAGTCTGATTAAAAAAGCTATTGCACCTTTACAACAACGTGTCAAATTACTGGAAGATCGTTTAGAAAAATTAGAATCAAGTCATAATCATTTAGCTACATACGATCGTCGTCTAAATCTTCGAATACATGGAA